GCTGTTTGCAGCTGCCATGAACTGTGGCCCAGCCATGCACACCTGCCTTGGAGCCAACTGAGTGTGGACTGAAACCTCCAAAAACCAAAGAAATAAACCTTTCCTTTCTCAACTTGGGCTTCAGGTATTTTGTCTCAGAAACAAGTAAAAGATAACTAAGACAGTAGTTAATGCAGGTCTCATGTTAGCTTGGCCTTGGATGTCCTTCAGAAAAGCCTGGCCTCTGAAGATATGGTGCAATGTAAAAGCTTGGCTGTGGGGGAAGCTAGGATCACTAACATCCTCTGACAATTGCTGGCTATACTGGTAAATGACTACTGTTATGAACTGATGGACTATGATGAGTTTAAATTGGAGTTCTCCTCAATGCTTCCCCACCTTAAGCTGGCTACCCATCCTGGGAGTCAACAAAACAAAAAAAGAGAGAGATGTTGGAAAGCGTTGAAGATGAATACATGTGCAGGGCTGTGGTGTGGCCTGGGCATGATTGAACTGAGAATGAGCAGACACCATAAGGAACAAGATAGGCCACAGCTGAGGCCACCTGGAGACTTGCTGGATAGTTTTTCTTAATTAGAATCATCTGTTGCTCTGTGGGTTCCTTGAACCTCTCCCAGGAGCCTGCTCAGGTTTTTACCATTGCCAACTCACTTCCTTGCTTGTTCTGATTAAATATGGGCTGCCTAGTGACAGGTGGCTGGCTGGTTAGCAGAGTTATGAGTTCTAAAGAAGATTTCACTCTTCCTGTTTCCCTCAAGACGATGCCACTTTTCTGATTCTTTTGGTCCTTTGCTGTGCACATTTTTGGGGGCTGGATATTTAGGCATAGGCCCCAACAGAAAATTAACTTCCAGATAGGATAACTGTAAGTTTCCTTAAAATTTTGTTGCACGTAAGTTTTCTTTACCTGTAGATGGAAGTGTTATTATCAACAAATATATTGCTAACTTATCAACATATGCTACCTTATTAACATATTGAGGAGTATTATAGTGATTTCTCAGAAACCATGATTATACACCTCTTTACATCATTGTGAGTATTCTGCATAATTTTTCTAAGTCAGTACTTATAAGTGATATTGGTAGATAATAAAGGAGGCCTCCATCAACTTGCTAAGTACTATATAACATGAGTCCCGGTGTTTCTAGCAGTTCATTTGTTTTACCCATGAATTCCTCGGCAGGTGCCAGTTATGCTTGGCAGAGAATGGATTGTACAGGAAATTACATGGTTTTGATCTCCAAAGAATTGCTGGAGTCAAACTGAAACAGGTAAAAGCTAAAAAACTGTTAGGGTTTTCATAGATTAAAACCTCATTTACATAATTAGTTGAAGAATGAGTTGATGCACTGGAAGTTTATTCAGAACATGCAGATAGCTGAATTATATTAGATATTTATTTCTTTACTTTTATACAGGTACAAAATACCTGACTTACAGAATTTAATATAAATCTATTCATTATCTCATTGTTTCCATGAGGAAAGTTTGGTTTTGATTGTTTCCAAAGCATAAATATCTTGGAAAAAAAGTGATAAGGAAAAGGGAACTTTTTTATGAGGTCAAGGAGCCAAAGAACAGTTTCAGAACCTGAGAGGAAGGATCCAGGGACCAGATTTGGTTCATGGGTTCCAACACACATGGCTGCAGTGTATACATATAGAAGCGATCATAGTAATATCCTACCCATTTCTGAAGCCCAAAAGGTGTTTAAAAATGGATCACCAGGCTTTAGGGTATATACGACTTCTAGGAATATTAAAATCCTGAAGAGCTGAGTGCCAATTAGTGACAAGGGAACTATACGGCAAGGGGAACTTAGAGTGTGAAGTCCTCAGGTATCCCTGCCTCCTCAGAAGGAAATGTTTAATTGGATTAGGAATTTGGTTCCATTTCAGCAATAATTGTCACCCCCATGCTTGGCAATATGATCACTTTCAGAATTCAGCATTTTTATGAGTCTGAATGAGTAGCAAGCTTGTCTTGGAGAATTGATGCTTGCTTTTATTTCATCTTTACTCTGTTGCAGACCATTACTATCATTTAAATGTAATGTCTTCACTTTACACAGTAACTGTGCTCCTTTTGTGTTCACATACTGGGTTTCTAGGTGGAAAATTAATAGAAATGAGTGAAAATCATGAAAATGAAGTCTGCTCGGGCTGGGGATTTAGCTCAGTGGCATAAGCACCTGCCTTGCAAGCAGGCAGTCGTGAGTTCGATCCCTGGTACCGATAAAAATGAAAAAGACAAAAAAAAAAAAAAAAAAAAAAGAAAATGAAGTCTGCTGCCTCTAACACAGACTTCTGACTCTGTTCTGTTGTGTCCCGCCCTGGCCTGTTCTCAGAATATTTTCTCATATCAGTGGATTTTTTATTCCTGGAGGATTGAACCTGAATCCTGAAAACATTTGCAGCCCATTATGGAAAGAGTCCACTGATCCTTGAAAGAAAGCTGGCGTAGCCATGAAATGGCAGGGATAAATAAGAAATTTAGAGAAGACCTAATACCACTTCTCAAAATTTAATGAAATCGAATGGGAAATGGTACTTCTCAATCCATTCCTGGAAGCAAGCATTACCCTGATACCAAAACCAGAGAACAATCCAAATAAGAAAGAGAATTACCGACCATTCTGCCTAGTGAACACTGAAACAAAAATCCTCAATAAGATACTGGCAAACAGACTGCAGAATATCATCAAGAAGATTTTACACCATGATTAAGTGGAATTATTCCCTGGGACGCAGGGGTGGTTCAACATACATAAATCCATACATATAATACACCGTATTGACAAATCCAAAAGCAAAAACCATTTGATCATTTCAATAGATGCAGAAAAAGATTTTGCCAAAGTCCATCACCTATTCATAATAAAAAACCTACAAAAATTGGGAGAGATGATCTTTATCTCAATCTGATAAAAGCCTTTTATTACAAACCAACAGTCAACCTCATACTAAGTGGACAAAAACTGAAAGCTTTCACTCTAAAATCAGGAACAAAACAAGGATGTCTACTGTCTCCACTCTTATTCAATATAGTCCTGGAAACTAGCTGGAGCAATTTGACAAGAGAAACAAATAAAAGGAATAAAGACAGCAAAGGAAAATCTTAAACTATCATTATTTGCAGAAGACATGATACTCTACTTAGAAGACCCTAAAAATTGCACCAAAAGACTTCTAGTTGAAGAAGCAAATTCAGTAATATAGCTGGTTACAAAGGCAACACTCAACAATCAATAGACTTCATAAACAAGAGTAAAAAACTCATGGAAAGAGAAATCAAGGAAACAATAACTTTTACAATAGCATCCAACAAAATGAAATACTTAGGAATCAATCTAACGAAGGATGTAAATGACCTCTACACTGTAAACTACAGTACTCTCAACAAGGAGATTGAAGAAGATATTCTAAAATGAAGAGCTATCCCATAGTCTTGGGTAGGGAAATTCAATATAGTGAAAATGACCATACTTCCAAAGCTATTGTACAGATTCAGTGCAATCCCAATCAAAACCCCGTAGCATATCTCAAAGAATTACACAAAATAAATCCTAAAATTCATCTGGAAACAGAAGAGACCTAGAGTAGCAAAGGTGACCCTGGGCAACAAAGAAAAGACAGGGTTCATCAAAATCCCTGACTTGAAATTATACTATAAAAGTATTGTGATTTAAAAAAAAAGGTGTGGTACTGACAAAAAACAAAACCAGACCCAAAGATCAAAGGAACAAATTAGAAGATGGAGAAACAACCCCAGACCACTAAACCATCTTATCTTTGACAAAGGTGCCAAACAGAGTCATTGGAAGAAAAGCAGCCTCTTTAATAAATGGTGCTGGAAAAAGTGGCTTTATACGTTCTGAATATTATCTTTCCATGTGTATTAAGCTAAGATCAGAATAGATCAAACATCTTACATTAAAACAGAAACATTAAATCTGCTGCAAGATAGAGTAAGTAAAACTCTTTAAGACATTGATGTAAGCAAAGACTTTATGAAGAAAACATGGATTGAACAGAAAAAATCAAAGAGAATTATGTGAGAATCTCACCCTACTGAAAAACTTTTTAACAGCAAGAGAAATCACTAACAGAGTGAAGAGACAACCCACAACGTGGGAGAAAATGTTTGCCAACTGTTCCTCAGACAAAGTATTACTATCGAGAGCACGGAAAACTAAAAATTTCAGTCTTCCCAGATTTAAAGACCCAATCCAAAAATGTGCATCTGAGGTGACATACACAGTTCTCAGATGAAGAAATAGAAACAGCAAACAAATATGTGACAAAATGTTCTGCATCACTCGTCATTTAACAATTGCAAATTAAATGACACTGATATGTCACCTTGCCCCAGAAAAAATGCCTACTGTCAAGAAACCACGCAATAACGAATGCTGGAGGGGTTGTGGGGGAAAAGGGGAACCCTTCTCCATTGTTGGTGGTAAAGCAACCACTGTGGAAATCAGTGTGGAGATTCCACACAAACTAGGTCTACAGGTCCCACTCAACTCAGCTATTCTCCTTCTGGGTATCTACCCAAAAGAATAAAAATCATCATACCACAGTGATATATGTGCACCCATATTTATAGCAGCACAGTTTGTGGTAGCTAGATCTTGGATGGAAATGTATCACCTCTAGCTTGCCAGGCAGGCGCTTAAGCTAAATCCCTGGACCACTTTTTTTACTTTTTAACTTTCAAATAAAATGGGTTTGGGAGAAAAAACAAGGACTGAGGTAGACTTTCAGTGCAAATACCCATCAGACGAGCTGAGGTCAACATTCCAGAAGACAGCCAGCTCCAGAAGCTCCACCATCTTTCATTGGGGATCCACAGTTACAGGGTGGTTTTTTTTTTTTTTTTTTTTTTTCTGTAATTATTCTTGGTGCGGAAGGCAGGCAGGAGAGCAGGAGCCAATCAGTGATGTAGAGGCCGGCTGTAAGAACTGTCCAATCAGGCGGGCCAAGGTAGGCGGTCTCTTCCGGTGTCATGGCATCAATTGCAAGGCCAAGGCAAAAAAGGGAGCACTAGATGTTTGCTAGACCACTGTTTTTTGCTTCTGTTCTCCGTGGACTTCTTAGAAAGAACCTGGGAGACCTCCAAACTACAGCAATGGTGATGTTATGGGATGGGAGCAGTGAAATGGGGTGGAATCCGGTTGAGACCAGTTAGAAGTGGTGAGAAGGGGCTGGGGGTTTAGCTCAGCGGCATAAGCGCCTGCCTTGAAAGCAGGCAGTCATGAGTTCGATCCCCGGTACCCATAAAAAGGAAAAAGACCAAAAAAAAAAAAAAAAAAAAAAAAAAAAGTAGTGAGAAGCAGCTGTGCTGTCTAGAGCCTGTGTGCTTAGCCTCAGACCCTGAGGTCCTCTAGTGCTATCATTGAGTCATCCTCTGTCCCTTTTACCTCTCGCTGGGGCCAGGACAGTTCTGGGTCCCTAGAACGCTGTCACCACTGTGATACCACCAGGCCACAATGCCATTTTTGAAATCCCCGGCTGCCCTTGTTCCTCCAACAGTCTGGGCCCAGGAAGGGGCATAAGGAGACCCTGATTCCGATGTGGTTTCAAGATGGGTGCAGCTGTAAGAAGCTAGGTCTCTGCTCTCATTCCTGTCAGCAACAGATCTGGAAGCCAGAAGTATATCAATGTCAGTGATGCAGGACCTTATAGCCACAACTGCTCTCCTTAAACTTACGTATTTATGTATTTTGTGATCGCCTAAATTTATACCATGTTCTCATATTTCCATGGTCATGAAAGGTGGTGGCAAAGGTTCTGAGAATTCAAAGATGTGTAGTGATGTGCCTCAGTGGAGAAGGCTTCCCAAACACCGGATGAACTCCTGTGTATTATACAGAACAATGCAAAGAATTTCTGAACATACTTTATGTGACACATGTGCTCATAGACGATGTTTGTGAGAACAGCCATAGAGGTTTGTATTTTGAGAAAAATGAAGCAGATATAAATGTGTCATCAAGGGCAGGGTAAAGTGTGCTTGCTAAGGACAAATTCCAGAAAGGGCTGCCTGTTAAATTCTCATTGAAAAATGCCTAAATTTAGTCATTTGCATGAACATATATATATACACGTGATATCCTTCTGAATGGAACGGAATAGGGGTGTCATCTCTGAATTAAGAGATTATTTAATAGCTTGGTTGATCATATACATTGTTGGAATATGGAAATGCTCTGCAGTGGACTTTACTAAGTGGTGTAAAGGAGATGCCATAAATTGAAATTGTGCAGAGATATCAATAGTTTAGTCGTGAAGGGTTTTCTGCTTAGGGTGGATCAGATGAGCATGGAAAGGATGTGGAAGTGACTGGCAGGACACAGTGTGCCAATAGCAGGACATACAACAGAGAGGGTCTTCCTTGAAAGTCAGGTAGTTCTTAGCATGAAGTTAAAGTTGGCTTATGATTTCTTTCTTGAGGTGAATAACACCAGCTCTGGTAAGAATCAGTATTCCACATCCTTGTCAACCCAGTAATTCTGTGTTCTTCACTTGAGATCTAATTTTGATTATCTCTAATTATGACCCAGTGTCATGAAGGTGAAATTTGAATTTTTTTTGTAACAGGGATCGAACTCATGATCTCAAGCTTGCTAGGTAGGTGTTCATGCTGCTGAGCTAAATACCAAGCTCTGAATGTGTTTTCTGTATACTATGTATGATATCAACATTGTTCCTCAGAAAATGTTGAATATTGTGGAATTTTTGTATGTTGTATGGATATAAATTTTAAAGGAAACCAAAGGTGTCGTATGTAGTCACTTTTCAAGTTTCACATTGTCTGTGGGGTGTCTCAGTCATGGTTTCTATATTTCAGACAGCTCTATAACTTAGGCTAGCACCAAACTCAAGAAAGTTCTCCTGCATCAGCCTCCCAAGATATATTTTTTATATCTGAATAGAGAGTGATCACTTGGTGACACTGAGCTATAATTTGAAACTTGTACCTGGTTTCATTGTTTATACATTTTTTACATACAGCAGTTTTCCATGAACATTTGAGTTATTATTTATGTATCATATTTGATGTTATTTATGTTTTGTTCTATGAAACCAAATTTATATATCAAAATGCTGCTTAAGTATATTAAGAACAAAGGACTCAGTGGCCTAAATGAGATTTGAAGAGATATCATTGTTAGTGCATCAAAGTGATTCATGAGATATTTGTCTGCCTCTGGGCTTTATGGATGCTGGTCCTGCAGGCTCTCACTATGAGCTCTGCTTTAGAGACAGTGCACAGGGACTCTTGCAGTGACTCAGCATAAGAATCAGTGCTCCTATTTGGCTGTTACATTAGCTGTGAGTTGCAATATAGCATTAAATTTGCTGTCTCAAAATATGTGTATATACAAAAATTAATCCCAAGTTGTGAAATTAAGATTTGAAGAAATCAGTCTCCATTCAGCTGTTTTGTTTGGTTTTATTTGTTTAGTTTAGTTTTGTTTTATTGAGACAAGTTTTCTCTATGTATATCAGCTAGATTTGAACCCTTTATGGAGCACAGAATTGCCCTAACCTCAAAGCAGCACTCCTATCTCAGCGTCTTGAGTGTGGGATTACGGATATGTGTGTTTTTACCCTAAAAAATATTGAAACTTGTAACTTAGCTGTGTTGTAGGTTGGCTTAATAGATGCCATCTTGAGCTTTGCATTTAACTAGTGCCCTGTATTTCACTCAGAAAAATGGAAAATCACTCAGGGTATAAGTCCCAGGAGAAAAGCAAAATGAGCTGTACCCAAAGAAAAAAATTAACCTGCTCAACAAAAGAAGCAGAATACAGTTATCATCCAAAAATTATTATAAGATTCTAGCTAAATGATTTCCAACAGGATCTTTTTGTGATTCTATCTTTTAAAACATCTCTAACTTTCCAGTTCAGAGCCTCTTGTTTAGATCCTGAAATGGGGGTGGGGGTTCTGTATACAAGTGGTGCTGAGACCAGCTAATGAAATTCCACATTTCTCAATTGGGTTGCTTGGCTTCCTATATTATTGTTCACAAAATCACCTCAAGCTGCAGAAACCTTACTGACACAAGCAAACCTCAGGATTAAACGACAGTGCCACTGAAATGAAAGAACAATAGTGAAAAGGAGAGGAGAAAAAAGACAAATGCCATGTGTTATAATGCCCACCTCTTTTCCCCAGCAATGAAAGGGCTGAAACAGGAGAATGGCCATGTATTCAAGGACAGCCTAACCTACACAGTGAGTGCAAGTCTGGCCAGAACTCCAAAGTGAGACTATGACTTTAAATCAAAAAACTAAAATGAAAAAAATAATCAACCAAGTTGACAGAAAGGGTATTGAAAATAAAGAATAATAGAGCTGAGTGAAAGTTGAATTATGTAAAATGGCAATTATTGAATGGTGCTGCAGAGAAAAGAAGGCCATGTAGTGGCATCCAGGAGGCAGTGACAAACACAGATTTAGGAATGGCACCTATTGTGCTACAGGACAACAGTGACCTCCTTCCTCCAATACATTTGCAGTTCATTAGACTGAGGACTTCTAAAAGCTCATTGAAATGTTAAACTCAGGGCAAACAAGCAGCTTGAAATTTTGGCTTTGGAACAATGCCTTTACCAGACACTTCATATTTAAATTGAGATAAGAGAAATATAATCCTGCCCTGTTTGATATCAAATGCATCAAGTTTAATGACTCACAACATTGAGAAATGAAGTCATAAACCAAAAGAATTTCAAAAATTTTCTTAGAAAAAAAGAAGAATAACCCTGAATTATCAGGAGTGGTCTTCGGTGTTTTGGCCATAGACCTATTGTCAGGAGTCATTTATACAGGAAAGTCACAATGTGGGTACAGTGTGGGTCTCAGACTACAATCAACCTGTAAACTTATAGCTGCTTAACTAATATTATTCAGCAGGGGAACAAGTCAGCCAGAAAAGGTATGTGGAAAGAGCCAAGGCATTTTGTGGGAACAATAGTCCAGTTGTTCTGGTCATTGAGTATGGTAATTGATGCCTATCAGGACTTCCTGGAGGGGGTGGTGGTAACTGTAGTACATTTCAAGCTGTTGTTTTTCTCTTCAGGAGCATGTAGACCTAGTCACTGCATCTTCACCTTCAGGTCTGGCTTTCTTCAGCTGTGCTTGTAGCAGTGGTTGTTGTATTTAGTTTTTTGCATGGACTATTTGAGGTTCCAGTTCCTCTCTGATTGTGTATCAATTTCTGTCTACCTTGACATTCTTTGCTAAAATCACAGTTCTATTTGAATGAATAAAGTGAAATATTCATTAATACAGGCCAGGGATTTAGCTCAGGAGGCAGAAACGCCTGCCTGGAAAGTGCTAGGTTGTAGCTTTGATCCCTGGTACCTAAAAAAAAAGTAATTTAAACTGCAAGGAAAGAAAATAATTTCATTTGTGAAAATGTAGGTTTACAAAATTTATAACTAAATATGTCAATGGCAAATTAAGCATTGTTAATAGTCATATTTAGTATCTAAAGTTGTTGGGTCTGGGGATTGAGCTCAGGGATACAAGGAGCTGCCTGGAGAGCACAAGGTCATGAGTTCAATCCCTCATACAGAAAAAAAGTCACAGTTGTCAATGATGCAGTGCTATGAGCACATTTATTGAAATGGATACATGGTATTTAATAGGCTCAATGTTCCTTTTGTGGTCTATGAAATACCTGCAAATAACATGGTAATTACAGTGAATGATATACTGTCCCTTATAGGATTGCTATTTTCTGAGGTTTTTGTTTTGTTTTGTTTTGTTTTCCCACATACCTAAAAGTTGAAAATGTTGGCTGGTGCTAGGTAGAAAAACTGTGATAATCATTTTTTCAATTTAATGATATATTTCCCTATATTCATTAAGAACATTTTATTTGCTACAGTTACTCCAAGTCAAATTGATAAAGAATTCTTAAGTTTACAGGCAGCTGAGTTAGTTAGAAATAGAGGCAACAATACCATGATATAGTGGAAGGAAATTTCTGACCTTCTATGTCTGGTATGAGTTTGTGTTCTCTAAAATGCAAGAATGAATTTTAGGAACAACAGAGTTGAAACGTGGAATATATTTATTGGGAGAAAGAAAGTGAAAGTATTTTTCTCTAAATAGG